CTTAATAAAAATTTAGCGAAACTAAAGGTTTTACCATTTTGCCAAATCCAAAATGAGTTTAGACAAGCAACCTTAGTAAGAATTCATAGCTACCCAGTGAATCCCAAAATGTATTATTAGTACTATATAAGGATTGAAACTTCAACTGCTTATGAAACGTGGTCCACATATTGTAGAAATTCCAAATTAATTCGACCAGATGTAGGATACCGAGAGCTTCAAAACAAGCTAAGCTATGAAGTATTTTGATCACAGAAATCCAAAATAGCCTTTACAGTTGGGAAATTTAACTGTGTTACATCATGAATTAGAAGTTAATTAACAAATCATAGATCAATTTTGCAAAATGTAATACTGTAGAATTGTCACTTCCAGATACTATGATTGTCACAAAATATGGAACAAATATAGCAACCCTAATGTCTATTAATTAGCTGATTTTGATTCAGCTAAAAAAAAATAAACTTATATGATAATTCAGTATACAATCCACCTAACAATTCTCCTAGCCAGATATCGGAGATATAATAGGACTCATCATTGGTGAGGTTTTTCTTTCGTATCTTCTATCATAATAATAATAACCATCATCATATCTAATTCCATTATATCTATTATATCCATCATCATCATCCGATCCATATGGTATCTTTTCTTCAGAATCACTGTCATGACTACAGTCACTATTATCATCTGTTAGCTTTGCTAATACCTTTAGTGCTTTTTCATTTGTTCCTTTCACTTTTTCATCTTCAGAATAAAATACACATCATCATCATTGTCTACCTTAGTGATTATTTCAGACTTTTTAGAACCCTTCTCAATCGAATCATTCGCTTCTTCTTCCTTAAAATAATCTGTAATATCAGACGTGTTACTAAAATTATCATTTGAGTCATGAACTGAAGTAGTAGCCACTGTCTCAGAGATTTCGTTCATAGAACTAGTGGTTGTTTTTGATTTGACCTATTCTATAATATATTCGATTTGAAGATTAGTAAGCCTTGAAATTTTGTTAGCGCTATAGGTGATTTGTTGAACTATATAACCCGATATACCTTTAATCTTTTTCAGAGTTATAGGATTATATTTATACCCAAATAACCTATTGATTTTTCTCACTTTACAGGTTATTACTTGTAAATATCTAATTGAAACGTTTGCGAGATATGGCTTCATTTCATTATAGATCTGCTTTTTGCAGTCTAATTCACAAGTTTTTTATCATTAGACCTAAGCTCCATAACTTTATCTTTGAACCTTTCAGAGAATAAACACCATAATATAATCTCTGATTGCTTTGCTACAATCGTTTCATTTCTTGCAACATTCATCTGATAGAATGAATTGGCAAGTTTTTTGATGCTTAATGATTCAGGAATATGGTTTTAGGAAAAGAAAACTTTATAGTCTGTAGTAGATCGTCAGATAAGAGTAGCTCTTCTAACAAATGTTATACAAATTCAGTTACTATACTCAAGAAAGCCTGAACATTCCCACTATTCTTGATCAGTATGATGTAATCCTTTTAGGATACCCCTAGTAAACTATCAGAAGAATTTTCTTTTCCTGATCTTTCTGTTCTTATATTTCTATCTATCTCTGGGCAGATATTGGGAGGAGTATTGGCAATTTCTTCCTCTTGTTTTTGTCTCTCATGTGATGATTTCGAATTTTTAGAAAACCTCTTAATTTTGTTAAAGAATTTTATATTACATGATAATTCAGAATGTTCAGAATACCTGTTAATGGTTTTATATCATATGTCATTTTCGAATCTACTGTGAGGATTTCTTCCTGGGGAGTATCTGCAATGACTGATTGAGGAGCAACCACCACAGTTTCTGATACATAAGCAGTATCAGAGATACTGTTCTGATTAGCTGATTCACGCTAAAGTTTCTTCTTCTATTGCGTTACCTAATATCTTCACCAACGCTTTTCTTATATGCTTCAACCAAGAAATTATCCATCTCTTTCTCCTGCGATAGTTTATCATGATGGTCTACGTCTGAATTGAAGTTAGGTAATTTGTTGTTAGGAGTATTACTATTTCGCAACTATTTCTGTTCCAATTCAGTAACTCTATCAGTGGTATCTGTCTTATTTTCTCTAGATCCTCAATTCTAGAGTCATGTCTGTTATTCTCTTCTATCATCTGCTTTATAAGCTCTACATTTTTGGCCTCAACCTTAGCAACCTTCTTTTTAAGTTCATAAATTTCAACATCCCTAGCTTCAAATTCAGCAAGCTTCTTTCTAAGTTCAGGAATCTCAGAATTCTTGGCCTCAAGCTCAGCCTCAAGCTCAGTAATACGTTGCTTTAATAGATCTATTTCAGATTGTATTGCCTATATTAAAACAATAATTATTTTTTATACTCTATATATTAGTATTCAAAATCGACAAAATACCTCCTTCAATCAAAGATCACTTTTTTTTCTCATATTCATTTGAAAAAAGATAACCCATCAAGATACGCTATCAGGATAAAATATTAGGATAAGCTTTCTCTTGCAGTGCTAAAGGTATAAGAGAGGATGAATAGCTATTAGGATTTTTCAAAATCTTAAAGAAAAAAATAAAGAGACAGATACTGTGCATGGATCAGCAAATTTTTCTGAGCTGATGATCACTGCTCTGGACTAGTCAGAGTATAATCATCGGAGGAGGCATATTATTACTATAACTATCTTCATTTTCTGATTCAGTCTCAGAGCTAGATGAACAGGGATAACGTTTTTTGAGACACACTCGGACATCAATTGGTACGCATTCTGGCAGTTTAAGAAAACTGGAAAAGAAATCCTCTTCTGCAGTAATTTTGATCTTAATTGCTCCCATATAATCTTTCTTTTCCTCAACTTCCTCACCCGATCCCATATGGTTCCCTCTTCATCTGTATCCTTTTTCTTTCCTTTTATCATGAAATTATTTTCAGATTTCGCTCCTATCTTTCCACGATATTTCTACTTTAGGATTTCTTTCTTTGTTTCGAACTTTCCTGTCATTCGCTTCTATATCCATTCGAGTATATTGAGATGATATGCTCTCTCTATAATAAAACGCCAATCATAGTCAGAATTATTAAATCCAACTTGAATGTCAGGGCAAATGCTCGCCAGCAAAGAGCAAATGCTTTTAGCAAATTTACCTGATTTCCGCATATGATTGTAACCCATCGTGGGTCTGGTGCAGTTTTAACGTCAATAAGACAGATTTGTTTTAATTGTTTTAGATCATCTTTCCAATGTAATGTCATACCAATCATAAAGACCTTGTTTTTCTGTTCAAGAACTTCTGCAAATTCTCCCATTTGTGAAGCATATATTTGTAAGAGAGCTGAAATAGGAAATCGGTTACTTATTGTTGTGAAATCCTCTAGTGGACAGAAATCTTTTATAGACACGAAGAACTCGTGCAGATAAAGTAGGTTGGTCTGCTTACCTTTCTTACGTATATATTTGTTTATTGTAAACCACCCAGAGAGTTGGATTTCATTTTCTCAAGCTACCTTTCAATAGAATGAGTATAAATCATCTGAAGCAGTTTCGAAATTATTTTCTTGGATAGCTTGAATAGCTTTCTTTCTCTCTCCAGTACCATTCGTATAAATTCGTAAATATGACTTTTTTTCAGTATGATAACCCCGAAAAGAGAAAGCTTTAATGTGCTCTATTTTATATGATTTCACAATGCTGGAGAGAATTTTGTTCACCTTTTCTTCACATTCATCTAGAGTCTCTCCATCTGATACGAGAATGTCAAAGAAAACTTGAAAGTCTATAAGAGTTACTAATGCCTTTTAGCCATTAATAAGGCGACTATAAAGACGTAATACATAGCGATATGTTCTATTTATCCTTTCTGTTGATCCTTCAATCTCAATGGCCATGAATGGAATATCTTGTCATTTAGATAAAGCATTCTCAAGTATTGGAGTTACAGTCCTCGGTGAAAAGAATGGCAGAAACGAATTTTTATGGTATGTACTAACTTTATTTTTATTGTAATTTTTTTTTTATTTATTTACAAGACAATCACTAACAGCTACTTTTTTATTATTTAATTAATATTTGGTGTGTCTTTCTTCTGCATCAATACATGCTTTAACCCAGTTTGGCATGCTTTCAATGCATTGAAGTAACACAGCATCATCAAGATCGTTCCATTCCTGCTAAATTGTATTGAGAAGCATTGAAGATGCAATGGATTGTGGAGCATTGAAGATGCAGAGCATATGTATACAAGATATGTTCATGGGTTGAGGAACATTGAAAATGTGACGGGGCATGATAGATATGAAACAGACAACATATTCCTTTAAGCATCAGCTAGAAGATCAACAGAAATCCAGCTTAGATAACTTGGAAAAGCAATACAAATTTCGTATCTCTATATTAGAAAAATCTATAGTCGTAAAAGATAAGGAGATTGACAAGTTGTCCGCTTCTATCTCCCAACTTAAAAATGATAAGAATGCTCTGAAAAAAGACTTCGCTTTTGCTAAAAAGACTATTAAAGTATTGGATAGTATTATTTATAGTAAGGATAAGACAATTATTGCTTATAATGAAGGATTACGAGAAATTAATCCTAGCTGTATAAATGACACTATAGAATCAACTAGCTTTTATGAAAAGGATACTTGAAATTTGTGGAATAGATGACGTGATGATGCTAAAGGTGATTCTGATATCTGAAAAAAATATACATTTCACTCATATGTTCATAGTTCATTCATTCTAGTTTGATCTTAGACTCTACATTGACTCGATTATAACTTAATGTAGATACTACATCATCTAGACTATGACTCAACATAGACTCTTCATTGACTCGACTATAATCCAATGTAGAATTAGTAGACTCACCATTAATCTAACATTTAGTTTTTTTATGACGTAAAAATAAATAGGGATATGTGAACTCCTTTTCGCAATATTGACATGTTCAATCAGCTAATTTTTTTTATTTCTATAGAACTGTTCTCTTTAGAATCCTCTTTTTTCACAGTAAAGATATTACACTGAGATTTGTGAACTGATAAGGGGATAATAATAGTCTTTCCATTACATGTGGCCTTAAATTCTCCTTTTATTAAAAGCTCCCATCCCGCTCGATATTGCCATTGTGTTCTAAGGATTACTAAAGATTTAGCATTTCCATTCTGATCTTTTTCCGCAGGTACAACAGAAAATTCATCTATAATAGAGGTGGTATTTTCTCCAGAACTAATTGTTATGGGAACATTATCCATAGTGCCGATGGAAATAGATTGACTTGCAACTCCATTAAGCCTATGAATTTTTTTCCTATTAATTTTAATACCTAAAAGCTCTTCAACAAGTTCAGCAATATTATCTGAAAATATAGATAAATCAGAGCCTGTATCAATCATTGCACAAGGTATTACTAAACCTCCTATTTTGCAATAAATAGTCGCAACATCGTCAGCATTCTTTATTTGTAAAAAATTTATCTCTAAAGGCTTAGGCTTAGGCCAATATATTTGACTATTTTTTTTTCAGCTGAATAACGTTGTGCATATGCTTTAATAGCATAGTTTAGAGTATTAGAATCCACTGGTATTATATCATTCATAGGGTCATCTAGTATATCTTCTATTGGGATTTGAATAAGAGGTTTTTGCTCTATATTTGTGACTTGAATTAGTGAATATAAACATCTATAATTTTATTTGTAACATGCCCCCATACTTTTTCCCTTTTCATGATAGTATCATCTTTCATAGCCGTATTCAAAATCTCATCTGTCAATTTAAGGTATATTGTATTAATATATTGAGAGCCTTCCTTAAGAATTTCTTTAGGAATATGTTATACAACTGATAATAATATAAATTTTAAGGCTATTAGAAAAACATAATCTATAATCATAGTTATAGGTGTTAAGAGTTCTACTTTTTTACAAGACTTGGAAGTAGAGAATTTCTTCTTGTAGGTCTTTTTTATAGGTACTTCAATTTGCACCACTTTTTTTTATAGCATAGCAGTTTAAGTCAGTAATATTTAAGGTAAATTCATCATCATCAACATATTCGACATCTTCTTCTACTTCTTCCTCAACTATGTATTCTATTTCAGGCTTTTTGAGATCTTCCTCCTTCTCAAATATGTATTCTATTTCAGATTCTTTAGAGTCATCAGAAGTTCCTCTTGGGACTGGATCTTTCTCAACATTTTGGTATACATAATTAACCTTTTTAATCTATTTAACTCCAGTACAATTATTCTTTGAATACCAGCCTTTCTACAGACTGAGCAAAGATGAACAATTCATTTAACTGTTGCTTTTTGTGCTACCTTTCTAATCACTTTTTTTGTAACATTAACACTTCTAGGCTCGAAAGGACTCTTTCTTACATGAGCTGTTCTGCTTCCCAATTTTTTTTGAAGATCATTATAGATAAATTGTTCTAAAGTTACGTTATCTGTTGCTATTCCTATATATTGCAAATCCCTTGTAAGTCGAATTTTAAAATCATCTTTTTGTGGAATAGGAGTAGGTATTACTGGTTGAAATTCCGGTTGTGATAGTATAGGTATTTGACCTATATTCACACTTGGATTACGTTCTAACCACAAATCTTTTAATTGTATAAAGAATGCATCTATACCACCAGGATTAGTTATTCTCATCCATGTAAAAATATCACCTGATAAGTGACTTTTAAGAAATCCTAAAACTCATGTATAATTATCTGCAATACCTAATAATTAAAGTCAAATTCTTTTTTCATATGTATCAGGTGAATCACTAAGTAAAAATCTTTCTTGAGTTAATCTTTGAAAGGCTACTTGCTGACTACCTATTGTTTTACGTTGATATTTTGCTCTCATTAGGGTTCCTCAAAATCAAATTGAATTAAATATTTAAGCAATTTGAATTTGATTTGATTTTTTCAAATCGAATCAAATCAAATCAAATTGAACTCAATTATTTGATCGAATCAATTTGAATCAATTTGAATTTGATCAAATTAAATTAAATTGAATCAAATCAAATCAAATCAAATATAAAAAATTTTTTTAATTTTTACAATAATATATTAAATAAAGTTATTATAAAGGTTTAATTAAGAAAATTATTAGTAATTGCACTAAAAAATTTCAAAAATAGCTTTTACA